GTTGTTAAGACTTAAAGAATCCCCAATATACATTATCCTTTTTCCTCTGAATCTTTTCATGAAGTTTTTTCCATCAAATCTGCAAAATTATAATAATTAATATGAATTTGATATATTGTACTCCCTTCGTCCACTATTGGCACAACCCTTAAAAAAATAAAAATATAAGGTGCAATTTGATTAATATAACCCTACTATCAATCATTATTAAAATTGTTTGTACTTTTTGAAAACTGTAAAAACAACTTTTTTCACATTAAAGTAGTCTTGTAACATTAAAATGACCAGTACTTTCTGAAACCAGTAGTTATGTACTTCCTCTGTCCCTATTTACTTGTCCATTTTGACAAATCAAGAAAGGACAAAAAAAAATTCCTACTATACCCTCAATAAATTACATTGAAAAAGGTAAAACTTTTTGAAAATATTAAATTTTTAATTCATCCACTTCATAATTAATAGGGGTAAAGTGGTAAACTCACTATGTCAATAATTATTTTCTTAATAGGTGTGTCAATTCAAAAGTGAACAAGTAATTAGGGACAGAGGGATTAATTATTAAGGGAAGAATTGAAAAAAAGTGACTAATTGTTTAAATTGACAATTAATTTTGAATAACTATTTTTAGTATACCTGACAAACAATAGTGAACGGAGAGAGTATTATACAATTAATTACATTAATCATATATATTAATTAGTAGACGATAGTAATTAATAAATCAAGTAATGATAAAATGTCATATTCATGACAATTTTTCAAGTGAGCGTATGAATGATAATATGACTTTATACAAAATTTGAATGATTCATAACCATTAATTAACAACTAATAAGTAGTCGCAAAAGAAAAAAAAAATCCATACCTCGATTAAGCAGCAACATAAAAAAGAGAAAAATACGAACCTTGATAAGACACAACCCTGGGTTGCCATCTATATTTAAGATAATCAAGATTAGGTTTGCCATATTTGATGCAATCAAATTCCTTTCTTATGAATGGACAAGTTGTTGAATTATACAATGGATATGAATTATCAAAAACCCAACTTCCTTCGAATAAATCACAACTCTTTCGGCTAATATTAGTGACTACCTCATGAGCATATGCTTCTGATAAGCAAAAATTTACTATTATAACAACAAAAATATGAGTAATATTTAGAAAAAGGCCAAATCTTTCAACTACTTTACCCATTGAAAAAAAAAGATGGAGAGATATATTTGAAAGCTAATTTTTGGCTCTATATATAATCAAGAGGTTCTATTTGAAAGTTATTGGATGATATTTCTCATAAAATTAAAAATTAATTATCTTCTAAGACGTGATATAACATGCATGTAGTACTAATTTAGAATTAGGATTGATACCATTTTTAAATATTATGTTTCAATATTTTCACATGTAGCACACATGGTAAACTCACATAGAGGAATCACGCATCTCCTTATTCTCAATTTTTACTTTCTCCCCGTCTAGATTTACGCGACACTTTTTAAATTTTAAAATTCAATAAACAAAAATTTTACTGTAAGTTTTTTATATACCTTTTAAATATTTTTAAATAATTATTTATTTTGACTTATATTACTTTTTATGTATTTTTCAAATATGTAAATTTTGTTTCAAAAAGTTTAAACTTTTTATACTTGAATTCACAGTCAAAATTAAATTGTTTAACTTTCAAAATCGAATTGTGCAACATAAATTGAATTATGGGAGTACTATTTATATTATTCCTCGTTCTTGCATGTCTGTAATTTTAAAATAAATTGGCATAAAATAAAGTCAAAACATTCTAATAAATCATATAATAAAGAAAAATTAAAAAAACGACACTGGTATTGCAGATGTTGTCTAACCCCTTCTCACATTTAAAAAAATTAATAGTTATTATTTTATTATAAATAAGGGATCAGGAAAAAGAAAAAAAATAATTAAAAAAAGATAGTGAGAATTAAACTCACACATATCATAGGAGAATTTATAACGAGTTAAGTTCACAAATAGTCAATTTAGGACATCGTATAAGTTATATTCATAGTGTATTAAAATTTATTTTAACTACTTTTCAAATATTTCAAACATTCGAACTCGAAGTTATAAAAAATCTTGTTTAAAGTTGGGAGGTCATTTACATGATTAAACTTCATGTATATATGTTTGAAGGTGATATATGAACAAATCTATGCCCAAAAATAACATTATTATTTGAATTTCAACAATCAATAAAGATTTGACGCTCAAAAACTAAGTTGGGAGTCCTAGTATTGAGTATTTTTCTTGCTTCACTTGATAGTTCTTCAAAATTGGTTGCTTGTATCATTCGTTCAATATTTTTTAAAACAAAATTGGTCAACTATTATATCAATTATTATTTTCTTAATAAATATGTCAATTCAAAATGGACTAGTAATTAGAGACAGAGAAAATAGTTGATTGCCCTTTTGGAACATGTGTATGTACTTGATAATTATTCATCCCGTGTTGAATGTCCTCTATCGGACATATTTTTTTTACATATATATATATTTTTGTTAAAAGAAGAATTTTACTTTATATATATCAGAAATGATTATGCACAATGTCAGTTCATAATTTATTTACAATTTATTTAGCCCAATTTTTCTAAAATTCGGTCATATATTTACTAAAGAAATTAATGGCCGACGCAAACTTTCTCTTCTTCTTCGTTGCTTCTCCTTTTTAAAAAACTAAAAAAATTTACGTGAATTTTTTCGTGCGAATGTATCAAATATTCGAAACATCGAGAGGATTGCATATCTAAAATTTGAGAGTGTTTAATTAGAAGTGATTTTGAGTTGGTCGATATTGAATAGATAATATTTACTTCATGTATAAAAAAAACTTTTTGAGTGTATCATAATATATGGTCAATGTATACCAAATGTATATGTAAGTTATATTTAATTTTTTGAGTGTATCTTAATGTATAATTAATGTATACTTTCTATGACTTTTGACTATTTTTTATATAAAGAAAAACATGACTATATTTATTATAAATTAATTATCTTATTGTATATATTTAAAATTGTCCTTAAATATTATGCATCAATACAAATATAATGGCATCATTTCTGCCTAATACCATAAGAATTACAATCCATATAATTTAAAGGTAATCTTGTTAGTTCCGCATGACTAACATCTAGAGTCAGATTTCAAATTAAATTTTAGGGGTTCAATTATTAAAACTCTTAGCAACAAATTTATTATATTTTTAAAATTATAAATTTTGACATATTATTTACTTTTAGTGAATTTTATATATAAGCTTATATTTTATAACGAAAGTATTAAATTTAGATGACCTCGATAACAAAATATATTGCATTCCCCTCTAATTATCAACCACCAACTCCATGGCACAGGCCCAACTACCAACACATAGCCTTTTCACACTATTTTTTGCTTAAAATTCTAGAATGAAATCATAAATAGATAACAAAAATTGTTACAAATTTACAATTACAAGCAAAGTTGTACCCATTAATTAGTAACATTCTTACTAGCTTTTGGTTATATCGTTCTAATTTTATCGGATGTCCCACGATCACTTACTAGCGTCTAGCTAGTTAGTTCATGGTCGGATCTTAAGGCATAATATCCAAAATTGCATAATATGCTATCAATAGAGGTAACGAAATTATGGTGCCAACAATCACCCTGAAATTAAGAAAAATTAAATGTCATTAATAACTTTGATTTAATAAGTAGAAAAACAACTATAAACCTTACATAATCTAATTAAATTTTTATTTTTTCAAATGTATTAAAAAGTTAAATAGGACTTACGCAGTGCTAAGTACATCAGCATGAAGTCCATATTCTTGAGCATATACGAAAGATGTCACTGCTTGGGGTAATGCAGCCTGCAAAAAAAATAAAAAATACAAAACTTTTAATAATTTCATTATATTAATTTTAAGAACCATAACAATTTTATGATTAAAAGTTATGAAATCAATATATATTGATGCACCTGAATGTCAAATCATGTAGTGCAATATTTTTAAGATAATGTCAATATTATTAAACTAAAAATTTAAGTAAATATTTATAAATGAAATAATAAAATATAAGTTCATATAAATAATGAATATAAATTTTTTATGATTACATATTCAGTTTAGCAAATCAATAGATACTGGTTAATTATTTTTTTTTCAATTTTACCTTTATTATTAAGTAACCATTTTTCAAGACTATTGAAATACTAGTAATTAATTTGGATTTCCAGAATACAGTTTATAAGGGTAACATGGTAAAATAACCATTTCCTTTAAGGAGAATGCAAAATACAATTTGAACAGATAAAAGGGAACAAAAGAAATATATATTATATAATTAATTATAACTATAGTGTATGCTCCGAGCCCTTTGTAACACGCATCAACTATGAGGACAACAAATTACTCATAATATCGTATCATTTATAAGATAATTACAAATAAATAATAGTTAAAAGTTGAAATATTAATTTAGTAGTTAATTACCTGAATAATCGCGATACGTAAAACATTTCCTCTCAAGCCCAATACAACACAACCAAGTGCCATTGTTGCTGGTCCAACAACAAATCTCAAAATCATTGCATAAATTGTCAATGCAGCTCCACATGCAATTATTTTCCCTTGCAAAGCCATGAATAATCCTAAAAATAAAATTAAAAAGAGAAAACACTCTTGTTTAGTGAAAAAGAATGACATTAATTAGTCTCTAATTATTTGTCCACTTTTGAATTATCACACCTATTAAGAAAATAATGATTGACATAATGAGTTTACCATTTTATTCCTATTAATTATGAAGTAGATAAATTAAAATTTTAAGATTTTCAAGAAGTTCTACCTTTTCAAAAATTAATTACTTGAGGGTATAATAGGTAAAAAAAAATGGTCCTTTCTTGATTTGTCAAAATGAACAAGTAAAAAAGAAAAATTGGACAAGTAATTAGAAACAAAAGGAGTACTTAAATTAGCCGAGCTTTTGGGAAGTCAGAAGCGTGTGTTTTTTGTGAGTTTAGATGCTTGAGTAATCTTTCAGGAGACGTTTGGTTTATGAAATAAGATAGAATATCTCACGATTAAGTTTGAAATTAAATTTCAACTTTGTTTGGTTACAGTGAAGGTATAAATAATCTCTCGATAAATTTATACCTCAAACTTGATGTTACTGATTTGTCCCACCTTGGAAGTGGAATAAATTAATCCAAAAATTATGATCTCGAGATAATTTTCTCTGGTAACCAAATAGAAAAATAAGTGTTTTTAATTAAGTAGTAATTGAACGATTAAAACTATTTTTGAAGCAGAAAAAGTACTCTAGTTTCTTTTCCTAAATAAACACTTTTTGGAATTTTGTATTTTAAAAATTTGACCAAATAAATTACAAATTTCGATAATTTTAATGAGAAGTCATTTTTGGTCAAAATAAGTTCATAAAAAGAGCAAAACTGGTTGTTAGTTAAACAAAAAAATCAGAAGTTATTTAATGCTAGTCTTTATTTCATTAAATAAAGGATCAAAAGTTATAAATTGCTATTTTTACATTAATTAAAAAAGACACTTACCCATACTAAACATGGCTACTCCACTACCAGCCTTTGACATTATCAAAATGGATCCCTCTATTATGCTTGGCATTCTAAAATGCCACCTGAAAAAACAACTAAAATAAGCTAAAACGATACTTATTTTAATACAGTAACTTGGAGCGGGAAAAAGAAAACACTTTAATACAACCAAACATGAAAATGAAAAATATATCTTTTTAGAAAAAAGTATTTGTAAATAAAATTTACTAAAAACTACTATAGTTAGTTACAAAAGTTCTGATAACAAGGGAGTTCAACAAAATACATTAATGTCACACCTATTATTTCTCTAATGTCAAGGCTAATAAATTTCTTATATATGTCCAAAAAATCATTATTTTTCCTTATCTGCATGTCCTTCGCTACACCGTGGCTAGGTGATCCTCACAATAAATCATCTCAGTATCAAAGAAAAACTTTACGTATTTAGCTCATCAGAATATCAAGTTAACACGTAAAGAACTGAATTAAATAAATAAAAGTATGTTCATACGTACCTGCTAGCTACAAGAGCCCAAAAGAGACCAAGAAAACAAGCATAAGAATTTGGATTCTTAGCAAGTTTAGTAGAAACAGCTTTCATCAAAGGCCAAAATGCCAGCTCAGCATTATTAATATTCCTCATTTGTGTAGTAGTATTAATATTTCCCAATTCAACAGAATTATTATTAGCAATTCCATTAATATTATTATTCATTTTTGTTTTCCAAAACTCAAGTGCAAATAACAATGAAGTTAACCACAACAAAGCTTGAATCACAGCTGCTTGAACAACAAGATCAACACCTAAATCCCCATACATAGCCTTCATTAATGGGACACCAACAACAAGTGTGTTATTCAAAGTGGACAAAGAAAAAGTTGTTATACCCCAAGAAAAACTCCCTTTTCTATAAAAGTTAGCCCATAAGACGAGGATCAGAATCACTAAGGCTTTAGCAATTACGTCACCGGTTAGAAAAAGGTAATTGAGGTTGTAAGGGTTGATATTAGCTATGAATTGGAAATTGAAAAATGGGAGGATGAAAAAGCAATTGAATCTATTAATGGTGTCACATTGTTCTGGCTTAAACATGTGCCACCATTTTACTGAACCATAGCCTAAAATAAGTGCTACATAAAGTGGCATCATCCCAACCACCACCTTGTATATATCATCCCAACCTATCATGTTCAATTTTAATTTGTGAATTTTGAAGGTTTTTTGTGAATTTGTTTTTTTTGTATGGAGATTGTGATTTCATGGAAGTAAATATATATATAGAGAAAAGTTTGGAGTTTTTTACACAAATGGTCCCTTAAGTTTGAAGGTAGGTTTGTTTTGGTCCCTATTGTATTACTCAAAGCAATTATGGCCCTTTAAGTTTGAAAAACTAAACACTTTTGGTCCAACTAACGGAATATTAATGAAAACGGGATATTAAAAATGGCAAAAATGTCATTTGACCATTTTAAAAAAGTAATTTAGATTGAGATTTTCTTCCCAAATCTCATAGTAATATATTCACCTCTAGTCACCAAAAATTAAAATATGCATGATAAAGAGAATTATTGCAAAATAAAATTCTTTTGATTTGAAAGATTTTCATTTACGAAATAGATATTTATAGTTGTGTTTTTTCTTTTTCTTTCCCGATCAAATTTCAAGTTCGTTTTACCTCTCTTGATTGACAAAACGTTATTCAATTATGATTATAGAGGGGATCAATGAATTTGGGCGATAACAGCCACCCGATTGCATCGTTATTAATTTAGCTTGGACATTACGTATAAAAATACATAACAATTTCGTTAGTGCTATGCATATTAAACACTAATACTAGATCTAAGAGTATAGTAACTAACAATTTACATTAGCTTAAACTTTTAATTACTTCCATGATTTTAAACAATTAAAATAGGGCCTAAATTCGAACCAAGCACTCATCTAGTTGTTTAATTGTTTGACTTGGTGTTTTCATATGTTTTGAATTTAATTAAGACAATGTTTGATACAGATTTATAAGTCAATCAAATCAATTTATAATTATTTTTGTTTTATCAATATGTACAAGTCAAGTATTTATAAGTCAGAAAATCAATCAAAAGTCCTAAATTTTCCACCTGGCTTATAATTTTGTAGTTTATATACATTTTTTATTTGATCAAATTCTAATTAACCCTAGTATGTTTTATAATCACAAATACAATTCTTAAGATATAAGTTTAGATAATCTCACTATTATGTTTATAACATTATATCATTCATCTTTTTTAATATGAAAATACTTTTAAATTAATAAAGTGGAATTCGAGAAAGAGTTGGTGTCTATATATTGTATAAAAAAAAATTATAATCTTTTTTTTCATTCAATGTACTAATTAATTAATACGAGTTTCATCACTTCTATTCAAAAACTTTTTAACTCCTAAAAATATTTTAAAAATATTTAATACTTATCAACTACTTTTAATCGATCAGTTTAGTTTCAGTGTCATTGGTTGCGTAAAATTTCTACACTTTTGCAGAGCAAAACAATTTCTTCAAGTAAAACTAATACTTCCTAATTAATAATATGAAAGATATTGATTGTGAATATAGTTTTTTTCTTCTTCAAATACTCCATTAAAATGAGAGTATGTCTTTTTATAAATACGTGATCTTGATTCCACTTGTGAGATTATACTAAATTTGTTAAGGATTTATTAAAAATAATTTCTTTATTTTTACAAGATAATAATAAAACTATTTACATTCCACTCTATTAATACTCCACTTGTGATATCACGCTGAATATGTTATTGTTATTATTGTCGTTATCGTCCTCCTTGGTCAATAAATGATAACACAAAAGTTGACATTTTATGACGTGGAGCAGTAAAGTGAATCACAAAACTTAACTGAAAAAGGCAAAAGTCCTAAAATGAGTGATCCTTTGAGAAGTCCTCGCGTTGCACTTGTCCTATAAAAGTTGTGGTAGCTAGGATGGATAGCACCCACTCTTACTTATAAATTCCGAGTTCGAATCTATGGAAAAAAAATTCTACTATATTTAAAAGTGTTTTTCTCTTTAATTAGTCTTACGTGGCACAAATTCAAATCAGATTAGATTTCAAACACTAAATGAAAAAAAAAAAAACTTAGATGAAGAAAAAATATTCCCCACAAGAAATGAGAGAACAAGGAATTTATTCAATCACATTTTATCCACAAAAATATTCACCAGCTGTGGCATCATAAGATATAATTAATTTAACAATCAATTCAAATCGACCACCCAATTCATAATTTTGTTTAAAAGACATTTTAATTCAAATTTATACTAGCAGTTCTTTTATTGAAATAATATAAAATTGTCAAATTGATGGATGAAATGTAAAAGTTGTGTTCTCCACTAATGTTGTTGCTAATGATGAATTTTAAAACAAAGATTAACACATCATAGAGCATTAAGTGGTCAAAAAATAGGTAACAATTAGTGGATGGCTAAACATAATTAAGACGTCATTAATTCCATCAAAAGTAATTTTTGAGAGAATCCAAGTGCGGAAAATGGTATTAATTCTGGTTTTGATTCCAATTAAATGCAACCACTATCACTAGTACTAGTATATTCCAAATGTTTAAAAAGTGACTTTTGTTCATCTTCATTTTTTAATAGTCATCATAATATAATATCTTGAAATTTAAAACTTTATGATAATAATAAAATAAGGAACATATGCTTAAGTTGAAACATGTATACATATAGCGTGTCGTCATTTGATTTGGAGTTAAATTTATTTAATATACAAATAATTTACTAGATATATTCCATTAATAAATATCAAGATCATGATATATTTTTTGGCGTAAGACTTTTTAACTTAATTTCAATTGATATTTAAGTTTTTTTAAATTTGGGTGTACTCAAGTAAATATTTAAATTTGTAAAAGATTGAACAAGTAGACACACATACTACATGACAGTTCACATGAGATACACCCAAACTGATTTATAGAATGCCACGTAATGCGTGTGTGTCTACTTGTTCAATTTTATATAAATTTAAGCGTCTACTTAAACATATCCAAAATTGAAAGATTTAAATGTCAGTTAAAACCTAAAAAATACGTATTATGCATATATTCTTTGACAAACTCACAACAAATCCCCCGGACACTAAAAATGCATCTTACAGATATATGAATTTCTTATGGTTGGAACAAAAAATTGGAAAAAGACACCATTAGGACAAGCATAATTTACGTACACACAATCAAGAATATTATTATTAATTATAATTGAAGAGAAGAAGGGTAAATCAATGAATTTTAATGAACCATTCGTTGATAGGGGCGGAGTCAGCATATTGTTAGGGATTCATTCGAACTTTTTTTAGTGGAAATATTATTGTTTATATATGATTAGCTCCTTCGATTAGTTCGTGTGTTTCCTTCTTCAAATTTTGAACTCCTTATTAAAGAATTTAACTCTATCACGATTGATGTATGTTGATTATTGCACGTTTTAGCCTATAATATAATGTGATATTATTTGGGTTTTATTTACTTGTGTGATTTTCGAACAAATTTCGCACTATTAAAAGTATTTAGCGCACCTAATTATAATCTTTTTATTTTTATTATTATTTATTGGAGTTTTATTTACAATTTTACACATGACACGCTCAACAATAAGAAGTTAAGAACAATAACATATAAAATTATGCTTCATCTTGCTTTCGAAGAGAGCTTATAATCTACTCTCTCTCTCTATTCGTTTTTATCTAATTTATTCATAAAATTATATATATATATATATATATACTTGTCCAATTTTTAAAATTAAGATAATTTATCATTTTCTTCTATCATATCTTTTTTTTAAAATAAAATAGTATTGATATAATAAATAGATAAACATTGACAGCGGATGTAATATGGAAGAAAACTATGACCATCAATTGAACAAGTTGACTATCAGAAATTAAGTGGAAGCTCTCAAGGAAAACAAGAAGAAGTTTATAACATGATTCATATATAGTTTATTATACTTAATTGCACATTTCTTTTCCACTTGTATTTATTAATTCTCTCTATAGGTTACGATAATTATATTTTGTCTCACTAATTAATAACTTCATACTCCTTCCGTCTCATTTTATATGTCACCTTTTTATTTGAACTTGCATTAAAAAATGAGGTAATTTTACCCTTATGCCCTTATTTAATGTTTTCTTAAGACAACTTTATAATAAATGATGAATATGTTAGATTTCAAAAATATAAATGCATTTGGATGACTATTTAAATTTTAGAGTTTATTTTTAGAGCCAAAATTTTTCACCAATTGATCCAAAAAATTTTAAAAATCAAGTTTTTTCCACCTCAATTTTCCTATATATTTTGTGTAAAATGTTTTCTTATATTTTTATATATAAATTCTTAAAGCAAACATGACAACATCACAAAATTCCTTTGAACTTTTTGAAATGCCATCTTCCTTGATAAAATTTATTGAAGCTTCAACTTTTAAGATTATTTTTGAATTTTTTTTTCATCTTTTATTTGTAATTTGTTTGTTGATATTTTTTTTCAAAATCATATTTTATAGAATAAGTAGTGAATAAAGAAAGTACTTAATTAATGAATGAAGTACTCTCCCAATGAAATTAACTACTTGTAGATTTCCTAGGTTAGTCAAAGTAAATACATTTTCAAGATTAATTAATTAATCTATCAAGGGTATAATGGACAAAATATGGTAATTTATGCATAAATTTTATAAAATGACATATATTGTGGTCCAACTATTTTTAGAAATGAATGACATATAAAATGGGACGGAGGAAGTATCAAATATCATGTCAATTATAGCTAGATACATATATTTTTACTACCAAATATACTATGAAATATCGATACATATATAGGGAGAGAGGAGAGAGGCGAACAAGATAAGAGGGAGTCAATCGAGAGAGTCAATGTATCCTAATACATGTGAATCACACTAGATACATGTATATTTGATATCATATATACTGAAATACATTTTGATATACAGATACATAGGGAGAGAGGCGAGGTAGATAGGGAGAGAGACAAGGAGAAAAACACGAGAGAGGCGAGCGAGAGAGTCATCATTGTATCCAAATACAAGCGAATCAATTTGAATACATTGTATCTGAAATATATTACACCTAATAAATTGTTAACTCCATGTATCCGAGATACATATATCTAGGGA